CGTGAATATTCTGCACAAACTTGAGGCTAACCCTGTGCTAATGAGTCTGTAATCAAGAAACACAGCAGTAATTTGGAATTCAAAAGGCGTCTATTCTTGCTTGAATTAGTTGGTCCTATTCAAGGATTTTCAACCCTGCTGTTCCGAGTTTAGTGGACTCAGCTTAAAAAATTCGCACTTGTCTTGATTGGTTGATATTGAAATACATGTAGTAACCTATCAAGGGTAGCATCCTTGCTCAGTCTACCTATGTTCCAAGAAAACACTTGATAATAATATTAATGATTGACTGCTGACCTTAATTTTTTGGTGGGTTAACTGAAAATGCGTATTGTTCAAGCTGATATGAATAGGACCAGAGTAAAACATCTATTTTATGATTTGTGCATGCATATGTTGTATTTCAATGACAACTAGCTTGCTTTTGTTAGCTGGCTTTGTGGTAGAGCCTTTTATGGTTGCATGATTTTTATAGGTGTTCCACCATTCTACAACCCCACACAATCTAAACCTTTGAGCCACCTTTGAGCAATTAGTGCATTTAGCCTCATATTGATATTATTATTACTATTATATAATATTATGGAACTTGGTTAAGGCAATGATGCTGGGGCAAGTGATTTACTATCTATACATCATCACATATTATGTTCTTTGCATCACCCGCTCTAATACTTGCAACATATGCCCCCATGTGCATCATCTAGGTCAGTGGGGATCTAGGACTGTACTGTTTTCAAAACAAGCCCTTGAAATTCTTTCAGGCGGGATTGTGCACCCCCTGCACTCCATATATAGCTTGGTCTATCACTGCAGGTCTTAACATTAAATACAAAATTGAAATAATGAAATACTCACGGTATGAATTATAATACTGATAACAATAAAATTAYACAGGTACCAGTTTTTATACCTATGGAACCCCCGGCTTGGGCGAACAGTTCATTGGTAATGACAAAGAAGAGGAAGGAGTGAAGATGGGAAAGATGGTCATAAAAATGTTTACTGCATTCATGAAAGGTACAAGTATATGGCATTATTGTGATTTGACAGTTTTGATTGCATATTAATTTCAAACTTTTCTGAAATAACAGTCATCTCCAGCATCAAAAACCTCAACAGAAACGCGAAATACCAGTTGAGTTCATATCACTTTACAACTATCATAAGTCTTCTGTGGGTTGCACTGTCATTTATTAATCTATATTACCACCTTATTCAGTAAGGGACCGGATTCTCCAGAGACACTTACTTTCTTTTTGTTCAACAGAACAAAAGCAAGACAA